TCTCATAATAAAACACAAAGCTCTTTTCTTCATAATACATTTTTAGGTTATGTTCTCATAATAAAACACAAAGCTCTTTTCTTCATAATACATTTTTAGGTTATGTAACAGTACGGCGATAGAAGATCACTCTTCCCCTTTAGCTCTATCTTTATTTGAAGTGAAAGCTAACAGGTTCATTTTATTTTACTAAGGAATAAACATTGAAACAACTCAACCTTCCAGGACTTTCCCCCACTTCCAGAGTAGAGCATAAACAGAACTCACTGACCAAAGGGAGTAAGAAGTATACACTCTGGCAGGAGTACTGGCCTCAAGCAAGATTTTCTGATCTTATCCTAATTATGCCTTAACCTTCTTTGTGGCATTAAACCATGACTTATTTCTGCAATTACTTTCCTAAACTTTAATACTAAAAGTAATAATCAGCTGAAAGAACCTGCTTGCCATTCTTTGAATTGCCAAAAGGCTGCAGCTGCATCTGAGAGAAGCTCCTGGGTTTGAACTGTTCAAGGCTCACCTCTAATAATGTAGATTAAAAAAAAAAAAAATCACTTCAAATATTTCAAGGCCAAATGTGAAGGAAGACTGCCTCATTAAGTTAAAAAAAAAAAAATCAAACAAACTTGTACAGGTAAACACACCTTCACAAAATTATCATGCTTTCTTTCTCACTGATGCCTAGGTCCCAAAGTTGAGGGCTTGCCTCTTTTCAGACCAGAAAGTCCCCTATTCAGAGACTGTAAGAATCTACAAATTCTACTAATTAGCCTTTTTCTCTTATTCTCCTCTATGTTTAAAATCACTGTATTTCGTTTAAAATACCTCTTTGTCCAATTACATTTCATGACAAGGGTAAAACATCCAACTTACAGAACCCCAGAATTTTAGAGTTGAAATTGCCTGTAGCAATCATTTATTCCTGTCTCCATCCTCTGCTGGATGAAGACATATGCAAAATGACACCTAGGGAAGGCTAAGTGATTCTGTTCATCTGGCAGTATGGTAAGAAGCACCTGAACTTTAGTGTCAAACAGGCCTGGGTTCTACTTCTGGTTCAAACGTTTATGAGCTGTGTGACTTTATGCTGAATGTGCCCAATTTTGTCTAATCTCTGAAACTAAGCTGGGTCCGGCCTGGTTAGTACTTGGATGAAAGACCAGCTGGGAATACAAATTGTGTTATTTTAAACCATCATTTTAATCTCTCTGAACCTCAGCCTCCTGATATGGAAAAGAACAGTAATATCCTAGTATTCTGAAAGCACCTAGCACACATCAGATCACTGATAAATATTAAGTTTTTTTCTGTTCAAAGTCATGCAGCAAATTAGCAACAATGAACAGCGCTCCTGCCAGAGCTCCTCCCACTACACACCCTTATCCTGCTGAATGAGTGTTTTCTTGTAGTAGTTCAAGGTCAGAGGAACAAAAAAATGTGCATTCTTGATTAGCAGACTGTTTTATTCCATAGTAACTGGCACAATAAGAGATGCCTTGTTGTTTAGCTGGTTAAATTCAGAATTAAAGCACAAACTGAACTGGCTAAAGATAAATAAGATTTATGTATAGGGACAGACACAATTAAGATTGTCTTGTCCCAAGGTATAAAATAGAAGAAGAACTGCAAAATATTAATATAAACATAAACATGTAGCTTGATTAGCTGTTTTATTTTGCTTTACTATTTTTTTTTTAAAGATTGTATTTATTTATTTGAGAGAGAGAAAGAGCACAAGCAAGGGGAGGGGCAGAGGGACAAGCAGATTCCCCAATGTGCAGGGAGCCCAATTCAGGGCCCAATCCCAGGACCATGAGATCACGACCAGCACCATAGTTAGACACTTAACCAACTGAGCACCCAGACATCCCTATTTACTATTTTTTAAAAATTAGCAAAAAAAAAAAAAAAAAAAGGACAGATGTACTTACAGTGTCTGAAGATTGGAAAGAAACCGAAATACACCATCAGCAATGTGAGTGACTCTGTTGTCCCCTAAATTCAGTCTCTCCAGTAAGCTCAGACCCACAAAGGCAGATTCATCCAGGCGGGTCAACTGGTTATAGGACAAATCACTAAGAACAGGAAACATGAAAGATAAGGAATTAGTTGTATTGTATTGTATTCAACTTTCCTATTCTCATTCTATTTATGTGATAAATTTAGAGTTTTCAACAAACTTCTAATAAAGAGGGATGTTAGATCTCATTACTGGCCATGAGAGTGATTTATTCCAATGTACTCTAGTCTCACAGCCTCCACTGAAATGCCATCCAACACTCACAGTTCAGATAGTCTTTGGCAGAACTCCCACGCGTCAGGGCTGATTCTTTCAACAGCATTCTGGCTGACATAGAGCTGTTGTAACATTCGCAAGCCATACAACCATCCCTTGTTCACTTCTGTAAGGTTATTATGCTCTAGCTCTCTGCAGAATTAGAGAAAAAAAGGAGAAAATATGTTTCAAAACAAGGCACTGCAATGAGAAGATTCCAAAACCCTCCATTAGGTCTTGCTCAGAGAGGCATATACTTTTTGCTCAATTCAAGTGAGCCAACAAATTCTATTCAAGAAATACTAGTATTTTACTTACAATTTACTGCTAAAAGGTAGTAAGACCATCTAAAACATCAGATCTATAAAATCAACACACTAAGAACTTTGATACACCTGTTCGAGGTAAATCCTGATCACTTTCATCAGCTCCAAACATTAAGAAAAATATAAGTTTTCTAGACAATTTTTTTTTTTTTTTAAGTAGGCTCCATGCCCAGCGTGAATCCCAACATGGGGCTTGAATTTACAATCCTGAGATCAAGACCTGCACTGAAATCAAGAGCAGGACACTTAACTGACTGAGCCACCCAGGTGCCCCTAGATGAAATGTTTTTAAGAATGATGAAAAAAAACACCAAATAACACTATCAATAACAAAGCTTAAAGAGCTTTGTATACAATTATTTCGCATCAGAGTAGGGAGAAAGAACTAGTGAACTTGGGTATAATTAAATCAACTATCCTAGCCATTTGGCACTAATGGCACTGGCAGACCCCTTTCGAACAATATTCTATTCTAGTTCACAGTACTTACAATTCTTCCATGTTATCCAAGCCAAAAAACGCTCCATCCTTAAGTTTGCTAATACCATTCCGCTGCATCTTCAAAGATCTTAAGGAGTCAAGCCCTTGGAATGTCAGACCTTCCACTACTTTAATCCTGTTTCTTTTAAGTTCCCTTTAACAAAAATGGTTTTACAGTCAGAAATTTGCCAATTTGCTCTAACAATAATTAAAATAATTTAAAAGAAAAAACAACCTTTTTAAAATCCATCTATTTAGTTACTCACAAGAACTGGAGGTGAGGTAGCTTGAAAATCTTGGGTGGAATCATGCTGATTCTGTTCCTGTTTAACTTTACCACTAGTAGGGAACTGGATAAATTATCAAAGCAACCAGCCTCCAAGATGGTTATCCTATTATTACTCAAATTTCTAAAATGAACAAGATAACAAAAAAATTTAGTGAAACATTCTACCCCTTGACAGCTACCCAAAGTCTATGAGTGAGCCCCCCGCTCTACCACTTAGCAACTACATCCAACTTCACAGATCATTTAACTGCTTTGTTTCTTTAACTACAAAATAAGGATAATACCTGCTTCATTTAGTACATCCATCTAGTATATTCATACAGTAAATATGGATATGATTGGTAAACTGTAAAACACTAGCACACATGTTGATTATCATTATATAAGATAAGCCACTGTTTAACAAACCAATCTTATTTACCTTTTACAAAACTGTTAGTAAAACACACCCAGAATTAAACCTCAAAAATTACCCTGGATACTTAATATTTTCTGACAATAGGAGAGAAAAAACAATCCAAAAAACTGACTCCATCAGATTTGTTTTTCATAAGCATATCAATATCACAATAATAACAGACATTTCTGTGAAGATAAGTATCAATAAATAATAAACATGAACTTTAAAATAAATCTAGATTAAACTACTTACAGGTATTTAAGCTGCATTCGAGGAAATGAAGAGGTCTTGATTTCTGATATTATATTTGAACTGAGATCTAAATTCTCGAGAGCAGGGTAAAACTGAAACGCTTCTGCATTTATTTCTGGGATTATATTATGGACTCTATTAAAAAAAAAGATTGTAATGAAGCTATTGCCAGAGACCCACCCCAGGCCATGAGGATGTTAAACAGTTAGGATCAACAATAAGGGTACTGAAAACAAAAATTTTTTTTAAAACTGTACTATTCATAATTTAAAAGATCTGAAATCTGATTTACTTACAATGAGAGCAGAGTAATATTAGAGGTTGGTTCTCCAAAATATGGGATTTCTGTTAGCTCATTATAATTCATTTTCCTAGGCAAAGGGGAAAAACAGATTTAGAAGGGGAAATGTTGCCTCTTGAGTTCTGGTTTCTGGACAATAATTATTTTTTAGGATCGGTGCCAGATTTGAAAAAGGCAGATGACTCAGAATCAGACTAAATGCATTATACTGAGAAATTGAAGATTTTAATAAGAAATGATTTTTCATGATGTAGATTTATGAGTGACATCACTATTTTGCACATCAAGTATTTTTAATCCCAGCAAGGTTCTTGAAGTTACTTTTCTGACAGCTAATACCAGTCCTTCTTAAAGAATTAACCTACCCATATCTCTTTACACATTTATAGTAAATAAGATTAAGAAATTATAAATTAAGTGAATTTTTAAAACACACACACATTTTTTAAGTTACTCAAAGTTAGAGAGGGTTGCTTAAGTCCACAAATGAATCTGCCCGAGAGATGGAGCCTATGATTAATTTTACAGATGACATGACATGTCACCATCTGATCTTAGCAGCTCTTTAAACATAATGTCTCCACTGTTTTACTAGCAAATCCAACATAATCACATTTCATTAACCTGGTTTTCAATCACTGAACAACCTCAATTACCTAGACTACAGAAAAGAAACCAGAAGTAAAAGGCCTCCAAGAAACCAGCCGAAGTTACAAAGTCCATGTCATAAAGCTCATGCATTTCCCACTGAAGCATTTTTCAGGACTTTCTTCAGTGCCTAGTCTTTAAGCCAAATAAGCTTGTCAATTGTTTATTCAGTGCAAAGCAGATCAAAACCAGTCAATTTGGAGCAGAGACAGAGGGAATTCAAGGACAATGAGCGCATGAAGAAGTTAACCCCATCAGCAAGAAATCAAAAAAGAAAAATAAGTCCAAAGGTTCTGCATTTTAGCATAGAGGCAAAAGGGCTCAATACTTGTGCTTCTGGAAACATCACAATGCAATAGCTGATATTAATAGTATTTCAGAAAATTTCCTCCAAAAAATACATAATAATATATCTCAGTATTAAAGGAAAAACTCTAGTGAAGTGGAAAATTGAACTGTATTAACCACCACACTACAGACAATACAAAAATACTCTATTTCAGGTAACTCATTTTTTTAAGTAGGTTCCATGCTGGGGCTAGATAATGATAATTACCTGAGATCAAAAGTCAAGACGCTTAACCAACTTGAGCCGCCCAGGCAACCTCACGTAACTCTACTTTAGATATGATGCTTGTATCTCAAGACAAGTCAAGACATGAAAAAGTTTAAACAACAGAGAACTTCACTGGCTGAATACAGCAAGAAACATGCAAAATATATTTATTCTGAAAAGGGGGGGAAATCTTAAATTTTGGCCCCAAGAAAGTAGATAGAATAATATTTCTACACAGTTTGCAACTAATCACCAACCTAATAGTGCAACGCCCAGAGAGCCTGTAATGGTAGCAAAGCCAAAGACAAGTTTAGATTAAAAAATGTCTTTTAAATTTTTTCCGTCAATTTCGGACAGCATTTCTGATTGAACATCCTCAAATTCATAATACATCAAGTCCACCCCTAAGAGTTTAATTCAAATTTAAACAAATAAAAGTAACTTACACTTCTTGTAAGGTTTGAGATTCCAAACTGATGTTCCAGTTAGACAACCGATTATGACTCAGATCCCTAATAGGGGACAAAAGATCATTCTTAGTTCAGTGTTGGAAAAGAGACTTAACGGGAAAAAAAACTAAACTAAACTAAACTAAAATGTAATCTAAAAGCCCCACCGAATGTGAATTTGAGTGGTACACACAAAAAGAAATGTTTATAAAGAATAAATATCTAGATTTCAAAATAGCTATTTTACTTTTTCTTCATTTTTATGAGGTCTTTTTTAAAAACTAACTGGGGAATACAGTCACATGATTCAATAATCAAAAAGTGTAAAAGGAAATACAGTTAAGTCTCCCACCCTGTCACCAGCCATTATGATTTCCATCCCCAACAGCAACAAATGAAAATATACCATTTCTTGAGCAGCCTGCCAGATATTTTATGCACGCACCAGCAAATTTTTACAAAAATGGTAGAGTAATTTATGCACTAATTTGCCTTAGTCTTTTCACTTAACAATATATCTGGTAGACCATTCCACAGCAATATTATAAAGTTCTTTCATCCTCTTTATGATTATCTTCTACTTTTATTGTAATGAACTACACTTTACATATTTTTGAAAGAAAATACACTTTTTAAAGTAACATATTGTATAATTTAAAGTACTGTATGTACTTTAAAGTATTTACATATTACAAAATAATATTGTAATGTACTGCGTTATACTTTAGCAGTAGATAAAAGACTGATTTCACAAGTCAAGATAATGAGCTTCTATATTAGAACTAAAGTTGACCATATCCTTAATAGAGATACAGTCTTCCTATAAAAAGCAATCCAGCTCCGGGGAAGAGAAATCCATCTCCAAAATTATGTTAATGATGATGATTGGTGGTAGTGGTGGTGGCTAACATTCATTAAGCCATCAGGCACTCCTCTATGCACTTTATACATACACGTTAACTGCCTAAATCCACCCAACAACCTTACGAGGCAAATACCTTCACAATCCTTGCTTGCCTAAGACAGAAAAAGGCAGAGAGCAATAATCTGTCAATCCAAGGCCATACAGCTAATAAGTGAGGAAGCCATAAACTTGAAAATCCATCTCACTTTTGGCAAGTAAGTTTGTTAGATATAGCAGAGATTTCACTGAAATTAGTCACGAGTCTAAATATTTAAATAGGCTTTAAAAATTCACCTTGATGCTTCCTGGCATCTTTACAAGGCTGAAGTGAAATCCAGCCCACACAAGCTGTCTGCCCAAGAGATGTATTATACATTACAATATGGCTAGCAATAGGGATACACTAGAGAAACATTACAGATCACTTTATCTCACTGTGCCACCACAGGCAGTTGACAGATGCACACAGGTCTGAATGATGTCTCCATCACCGCAGAACAATTTGTTCTCAGCTAGATTCATTTCTGTCCATCTGTAAAATTTAGCCACGTTCATTTAGAAGCTTAATTTACACCATAAGATAATTAAGGCTAGATGAAACCATTCCTTTTCCGCAACAGTTCTAACACCTTTATTCTAAGATACCTGGCACCAGATATCAGCTCAAGGACACTCATGACTAGGGGGGGTATGTGCTCGGAAATGCTAGAGATAAAAATAGGAATTTACTCCTCATAAAAATCTTATATTCAGATACTTTCATCCAACTCCCAGTTGCTACTAAACAACACTGGATTTTATACAAGTGAAAAGATATTTTTTGTGGCATGTCAACTAAAGAAGAAATTCAGCTCTTCTAATTTAAGTTAGATAATCCACATTCTGCTCTAAGGTGGCTGGTCTGGCAACTATCACCTGTGTCGCAGGCTAGCCCAGTATGATTTAATTCCATATCTGATGCTTGCTAAAATTTATTTTCCCCCCTTTTACAGATTAAGAGCTTTCATTTTAATTGTAACAGTGCTTCTAATGCCTTCCCAAACCCTAATCTCTCTGGCAATATAACTGTTGACTATACTCATTTCCTACAGTTCTCTCATGGATATCAATGACCAGATAATCACTTTTTTTTTTTTTTTAAGATTTTATTTATTTATTTTACACAGAGAGAGAGAGATCACAAGCAGGCAGAGAGGCAGGCAGAGGAGAGGGGAAAGCAGACTCCCGCTAAGCAAAGAGCCCAATACAGGGCTCGATCCCAGGACCCCAAGACCATGACCTGAGCCAAAGACAGAGGCTTAACCCTCTGAGCCACCCAGGCACACCTCCCCCCCTTTTTTAAAGCAATAATCACTTTTAAAGAAAACTATCATTAAAGAAATCTAAAACAAGTTAACCCAACTCACACATGGTATAAGCTACTTTGTATTAAGTATCAGTGAAAACTGTCCAGTGTCTCTACTGGGGGGAAGGAGTGATTTTCTCTATCTCTTTGAAGAACTTCTAAAGGCTTTTTGATGGAACTCAAAGGATACTGGAAATACTTTGGAGCCTCTCTACAGGATAACGCTGTCTTAAGAATATATGCCTCAGATGCTGCAAGCCCAATCTCATGCTGCTCACAAGGGGTGTCAACGTTAGAGATCAGACTGTCTGGGCTCATGAAAGATCAACAGGCCTTGGCTAGAGATTTACTATACCCGTCCTTGGAAAAGGAAAAGAAAAAAAAAAAAAAACATAAAAAGAAACAGCTAGTTCAAAGCCCACATTCCTATTTTATGGATGTAAAAGGTCCAGGTTGCTACAAGATTATAAGATTACCACGGTTTTCAACCATGCTCAGATGGTCTTTATTTGTGGGGGCTGTTCAACAGTGTTGCTGTGCAAGCCAACAGAAGGAAAGGCCAGACTCACAGGGTGTTTGTTCTTCACTTAGAAGAAAGCAACACTAGCGATCCACACAACCTCCTGAACTTGTGTTATATGGCAGAAAGCCTAATCAGTCCAGTAATTCCAGTTATCTACCAAAATAATGTAATTATGTTTAATTTTGTAAGGTACACAATGGTTCTATTTTGGTCTCAGTTGTTTTTGGTTTTGTTTTAGGATTTTATCTATTTATTTGACAGTGAGAGAGGGGACACAAATAGAGGGTGTGGGAGAGAAAGAAGCAGGCTCCCTGCAGAGCAAGGAGTCAGATGTAGGGCTCAACCCAGCACCCTGGGATCATGACCTGAGCAGAAGGCAGACACTTAACAACTAAGCCACCCAGGCACCCCTTGTCTATTTTTCAATAAAGTTTTGGTTATGGATGGATTAAAAAAAAAAAAAAAAAAACTATATGCCTCAGAGGTCAGAACCCCATAATGAGGCTCTCTGGACCCTTCTTTGACAAATCTGCATTAGGTGGGATTTTAAAACACAGAAAGCAACCATAGTAGTTCCCCCACTCCCCATTATCCGCAGTTTGGCTTTCCATGGTTTCAGTTGCTCACAACTGTGCTCTGGAGCAGAAGACCCTAATGCTAGCTCACAATGCCTACATCACTCACTTTACTTCATCTCATCACATGGGCATTTTATCATTCCACATCATCACAAGAAGGGTGAGTACAATAAGGTGTTTTGAAAGATCACATTCATGTAACTATTATAGTATATGGTTAGAATATTTTTTATTATTGCTGTTAATGTTTTATATGGTGCCTAATTTATATATTAAACTTTATCATAGGTATATATAAGAAAAAACAGAGTATATAGGGTTCAGTGCTATCTACAGCTTCAGGCATCCACTGGGAGTCTCAGAATGTATCTCCCGTGAATATGGGGGAAGGGAGACTACTACAGTATAAATCTGTATAGCTGTTTGAGTTATCAAAATTCCAGGTGTTGGGGCGCCTGGGTGGATCAGTCAGTTGTTTCTCCCTCTCCGACTTTCCCTGCTTGTGTTACCTCTCTCGCTGTTCCTCTGTCAAATAAATAAAATCTCTAAAAAAAAAAAAAAACAAACACACACAAAAAACCAGGTGTCTAAAATTATATGGATTGATCTGATCATCAGGTATTCATGCAATAAACATTTACTGAACCATGTGCCAGGCACTGTGCTAAGTACTAGGGTTACAAACTATCAACTATAGTAACCTTTTCGTCTTTTTTGAAAGCAGCATTTACAATACTCAGGTGGCATCACTGGAAAACTAAAGATAGACTGAACATCAACTCAACCATTCCCCTTCTTCCCTAGTAATGTATGCATTCTTTCATACCTAAATCTCCCTCTGGAATTTAATCACAACATGTGCATATGAGAGTGCAAAGACACATCCTTGCTTTCCATAACCATGCTCTTCCTATTTCTTTTTTTAAAGTACTTCAAGGGGCTCCTGGGTGGCTCAATTGGTTAAGCATTTGTCTTCAGCTCAGGTTGTGATCTCGGGTCCTAGGACTGAGCCCCGCATCAGGCTCCCTGCTCAGCAGGGAGCCTGCTTCTCCCTCTCCCATTGCTGCTGGGATCCCCTTCTTGTGCTCTCATATGTGCTAACAAACAAAATCTTTAAAAAATAAATAATAAAAAATAAAGTACTTCAAAAAGGCTGAAGAAGACTAAAATTGGAAGATTTCGATTATGAGATGTAAAACTCTTAAAGATTAAGAATTTGGAGGGGTGTTTGGATGGCTCAGTCGGTTCAACGGCTGCCCTCAGCTCAGGTCATGATCCCAGAGTTCTGGGATGGAGCTCCATAGCAGGCTCCTTGCTCAATGGGAAGCCTGCTTCTCCCTCTGCCTCTGCGGCTCCCCCTGTTTTGTGTTTTCGCTCTCTCTCCTGCTTGCTGTCAAATAAACAAAATCTTAAAAAAAAAAAAAAAAGTATTTGGATACTTAAAGTCTCTCGCCATTCTTCCCATGTACAAATCATTAATTCCATTTAGTTTGCATAAGTTAATACAGGCTTGTCAGGGTTGTTTTTTGTTTTTAAGCAAAAGTCCTGAAATAGAGAACTGTCCTTCAAATATTTTCACCCTGAATATCCCTAAAATGTACTTAAAAACTTTAAGTAGGGGCACCTGGGTGGCTCAGTCGCTAAGCATCTGCCTTCTGGTCCGGTCACAGTCCCAGGGTCCTGGGCTCAAGCCCCACATCGGGCTCCCCGCTC